GGGGGGGGGAAGGGGGAGGAACGAAAAGAAAAGGGGGTTAGCTTTTCCTGGTTTCCTTCTACGCCTGGGGTCGGGACCCGCTAGAGACGGATTACAACGACTTGCTGGCATTTTCAATCACATGCGGCCTTTCGCGACACATATACAGTCCGTGGATGGAGATTGATATCCGCGGCCAGCCCCGCCTGTTTGTGAAACCGTGAATTTTCGTGGCTGGGGTGTCGACCAATCCGCGTTCTAGAAAGAGGCTTATGCAAGGAATATGAGTGAGAGAGCGATAGACAGAAAACCAAATGCAATGTCACGCTGTAGAGCAGATAGTCGAGTACCAAGCAGAAAACACAATGCACCGAGATACCATCCAAATAAGAGCAATACGATGAACTCAAATGTCGATGCTGACACTCTCAGAGAGCCACAGCAACATAGTATCCAATGTCGCTCGTCTTGTTTGGCGCTCCTGGCAACGTCGCCAAACGCAGACTGCCTATCCTACGCAGCCTAGACTAGCCTGTACACCACGTATTGCTACGGAAGTCGCTTCGAGCTGAAGACCGACCAATGTACATGACGACGTCGCCAAACGCAGACTGCGAGCATACACCAGGTACGTGCCTCTTCTCCACTCATCACTCGCTGACTCCACAGCATGCGCCTCATCACTCGCTGACTCCACAGCATGCGCCTCCCCTTCCCGAAGACCACCATCGCCCACCGGCATGTGCCCCAGCAGCCAGCCCGGCTATGGCTGCCGTGCACCCACTGCCACCGCAGCGCCCCTTACCCCTCACAGCACCCGCTCACGCCTCTGGCCAGTGCTAGCGCAGCCTGCTCACGATGCAACGCAGCAGCATGGCCGCATTGCGTGCCTGGCCAGAATCCCCTCTGCTGGGCGAGGCACTTTCCTATATGGAAAGTGTAGCCCAGCCTCTGGCTGCCTGGGCCTGGCGTGGGTGTGCCCAGTGGCTTCACGTTGGGCCAAAGTGTCCGCGCTCAGGCCCATGCAGACAGTTGCCTGGGCCCGCAGCAGTGAGGTGAGGCAGCCCAACTGTGCGACGTGGCTGCTGTCACTCGCTGTTTCCTCATTGGTCTTCGGGCCTCCAGCCACGCCGCTACCTGTTTGTTCTCTCATTGGCCGAGAGACTCAGGCCACGTCGCTGGTGGAGTGAGCCCAGAGGCTCAGCATGGTGTGCTCACACAGGTGTTGCCCTGTAACCAACTGGTCCGTGGTAACTGTCTGGCGCCCAACAATGCAGAAATGACAAAAATGGGGCCGCGTATCGAAATCAGGCCCCGCCTTCACTTAGGGCGGGCACATTGCTTGTGAGGGGCCCGTCGGGCATGGGGAGGCCACGTCGCTGGTGGAGTGAGCCCAGAGGTTCAGCATGGTGTGCTCACACAGGTGTTGCACTGTAACCAACTGGTCCGTGGTAACTGTCTGGCGCCCAACAATGCAGAAATGACAAAAATGGGGCCGTAAATCAGGCCCCGCCTTCGCTTAGGGCGGGCACATTGCTTGCGAGGGGCCCGTCAGGCATGGGGAGGCCGCGACCGAGTGGCCAATGTGAGGGCCTTCTTTTGATTTTTTTTATTCGCAGTTCACTGTTCATCCAACGTCCGTTGCATTTTTGCCCATTTTTTAGGTAGGGACTAGGGGGGTGATTTTGCCCATTTCTTAGGTTAAGGGGGTGATTTTGCGACTTTTCCTCGTTGCTTCCTGGTTGCTCTGGGCCTCCATGAAAATGACCTTCAGAGGATGCAGCGAGAAAAATGACCTTCGGAGGACGGGGGTGAATTTGCCCATTGGCTGACCGAAGAACCCATCCATCCTCAAAAAGAGGGGGGATGAATTGTGGCTGCCACGCAGTCCCTTGTCTGACAGGAGAACCCAGAGAATGGTTTAGCTTTTTAAATTCATATAGATAGAAAATGAAGTTTTTAAATCTGGAAAAATCGGGAAAACAATTTTTTTAATGCGAAAACAGCGTTGCACGCATTGTACAACGCTGCTAGTGAGTCCCGACCCCTGGATTCCGGAAAGGGATGTAAGTAAAATAAAAAATAAAAAAATCAAGCCCGGGTTCATCGGTCTTCTTTGTCTCTCTCCTCTCTCTTCCAAGAAGAGAGTCTACATGCACCCTACGTTCATTGCCTCTGGTGTTTGTCTAGGCTGAGGGCATATACTTATATAATATATACTTACACGAGGATTTTTTCCGATTGACGTAATTGTGAAACGGTATTCACCAGTTCGAAGTAGCTGATGCAGATCCCAGGGCTCGATCCCTAGTTCCCCAACTTACCTGTGTACAATACCTGTGTC